CCGTGTTTCCGCTTTGAAAGGCTCAACACATAAAAGAGTTGGTAAAGTTGGGAAAATATTTACGAAACAAACGATACTTAATAATGATATTGTGTCCAACTTCTCGTTAAGAAAGTGGAAAGTAAGTTTCTCAAAGCAACAGTTTCAAAGTTAAAATAATATTTTCCAAAATTGCGTGATCCACTTATTTACATATGAAAATGTTAGACAACTTTTACTTTTATCAGGGGAAACTTGCAGAAGCCAGATTTCTGATATTTTGTTTATGTTTACTAAATCCTCTTAAAAATATATTCTTCTTAAATGAGTTTATTAATTGTTTGTGTGAAAATATTTAAAGGAAGTTTCTCGTTTAATTTCCAAATTATTTACAACGAAGAAGATATTTCAGGAAATTGCAGTTTTTTTATTTATGTTTTGAGTAAAGTTACGAAGATAAGACGTCGTAATATGTAGTAGGTTGTGACGGAACACTTTAAAATCTGAATTTAAAAAAAAATTCTCAACTAAAACGAAAACGGCTATTTTATTTAATCTTTCTTTTAATTCATGGTAATTATGACATCGCTCTGAAAGTACATATTTTAACCGAATTCAATCTTATTAATAGCATTTGGTACTGAATTGACAATTAAAAAAATCAAAATGTCAAATGCTTATAATTAGTTTCATAATTTTCTATTTAATGAAAAAAACAAAAGAATTTTTTTAATTTTGAACATATTTTTACTTGTCCATGTACCACTAAGTACTATTTTATTTTATAGCCGTCGTTGAACAGCTGACCAGAATTTTTTGGGTTTAGGATTACTAATGTTCAACTCCGTAGCCTTGTAATTTTGAACACGATCCAGAAGACAAGGGAGCTCCTGGATCAAGTACTGGGAGAAATTTGCCTTAGACGTGTACTTTTTGATGGAGCTAACTCACATTTGCGTTAAATGGAGAGGAAAATCACGCAAACCTCTCATGGTTAGCCAGTCGTCAAGGGGACTCTAACCCATGAACCGTCTACCACTGAGGATATTTTATATCAAGCCAGATGTGGAATTCATATAGACCAGCCATCGCTTTAATCCGAACCTGATTTTTGATTCGTTTACCTGATTTTTGATTCACCAGTGTTAAACAGTCAATATATCGGAAAATCTCACAATGAAAGATACTAAATAACGCATACCTGTTTTCCAAAAAGATGGAAATGGTCAAATATATCGAGAAATTTGCATTTAATAAAAAGTATAAAAAATTATGGCCTCAAATATATGCATATATAAAATATTTCTTCAATGTTACCAAATTGCCTAACGCTATTTTTAGGGGGGAGTGATGTCAGGGGGGGGGGGTCGNCAGGGGGGGGGGTCGAGTTTGTACTATACGAAAAAGCTTTCAAAAATAATTAACACGGTTACTATTTCTTACTCGCATTTATCAAAATCTTTGATTTTTTTATACTTTTTCGTCAAGTTTACGATAATTTTTTCAGCAGTTACTTTAAGACAGAAATCGGAATTGCACTTACAAATTTTTTTATAGACATTTTGATAAGTTCACGTTTAAAACAGGACTATCACTAGAATATTCAATTAACAGATCACGCGAAAGTTTCATAGTTTTCTAATTAAATATTGTAATAAATTTGGAATCTTTGTTACATAAATATATTTGAAATATACATTCATATTACTACATGAAAATAAATGAATGCAACTAGGCACGATGGATCAGCACAAGTACGTATCTGTCCTTGCGGACCATGTCCACCCCTACNTACTTTAAGACAGAAATCGGAATTGCACTTAAAATTTTTTTATAGACATTTTTATAAGTTCAAGTTTAAAACTGGACTATCACTGGAATATTCAATTAACAGATCACGCGAAAATTTCATAATTTTCTAACTAAATATTGTACTAAATTTGGAATCTTTGTTACATAAATATATTTGAAATATACATTCATATTACTACATGAAAATAAATGAATGCAACTTCTGTTTGTCACATAAGTATATGGCGTCGTAAACATAACAGATAAATTCATCTCTACAAGTTAAATGTAATAATTCCGCATAAGTTGCAAACTGTTACAATTTATTAATTGTATGATAATTAAATAAACTAAATAAAACAAAACTGCCTTTAGGTCTCTATAATAAGTAATAAATATATAATGTTATGAAAGTAATTGATTTATTTATTCTTCAAATAAATCCTAATAATTAAACATAGTTTGTTAACTGTTACTGTTTACTTACTAATCCATAGGTGGATTAAATAAATTAAATAAAACAAAACTGCCTTTAGATCTCTATAATTATGAAGAAACAAATAATGCCATTAGGGTAATTAACTGATTTCTTAAACAGATAAAATCTAACACTCATATATAAGTTATTAATTGTTACTGTTTGCTAACCGTATGATGATTAAATAAACTAAACAAACATAACAGCCTTTAGATCACTATAGATGAGGAATAAATATATGTTATGAAAGTAATTTGTTCATTTCGTCTGCAAATAAAATCTAACAACTATACATAATTTGTTAACTATTACTGTTTACTAATAGCACGATGATTAAATAAACTAAATAAAATATAACTGCCTTCAGATCTCTATAAATATGAGACAAATATGTAGATTCAAAAATGCAATAGATTTAATAATTTTTTCTGCTAATAAAATATAATATTTAAAGATAGTTTGCTAAGAATCAAAAATGAATTTAAGTTTTTAAAAGTAATTTATAAAAATGTTACCGTTAATGTATTGTCTGATGTGCTACGTTTATTTTACCAAATGGGCAGATAGTTTACATTTACAAAATCTTCAAAGTATTTAAGTTCTCTTAAGATACACGACTGAAACGTTGATAGCATATGTTTTGTGGGATTTCACTCAATTAAAGATCCTAATCTTGGTAGCCTAATTGACTTTCTATCCTAACAACTATAAGAGCATTTTCTTGACACAAGTGTGGGAAATCTTAATTCGAGAAATAGCTATTTTAGTACTAATTTTGACAATTTAGGAGTCAATTATGTTAATGAAGTTGTCCCTTTTGATACACGTGACAGCTTTTCGACTTCAGGGATGGCAATCTTCAATCTCAGGCAATGAAGTTTGAGTTTGTTATTGGGGAAGGTATTTGAAGACTAAAGTATATTACCTTCAAATTTATTATAATAGCTGAGGCATGTTTCCAATTAAGTTTTCTGCTAAGATGATTTAATTTAGGAATAAATATACTGAAAATTTGCCAAACATTGTAACTTTTAAGTGGTTGCAAAAGTTTGTGCCTGATTCAAAACCTTTTGAAATACAAAAAATTTTCTTGCGAAAAAGATTTTTTTTCCATCGCTTAGGGTTCTATTTTTATTATTTTCAGTATAATGTAATAGATATATTACTTTTTTCCCTACTGATAAAATTTAATATTTAAACGTAGTTTGCTAACTGTTTACTAATAAGGGAGAATCAGTTAAAATTTTTTCGAAGGAACTCATAATTATGTTACAGTTAATATATGATCTGATATGCAACGTTTATTTTACCAAGTTGGCAGTCAGTTTACATTTACAAAATCTTCAAAGTATTTAAGTTCACTAACATACACGACTGAAACGTTGATAGCATATGTTTCGCGCGATTTCACTCAATTAAGGGATCCTAATCCTGGTAGCCTAATTGGCCTTCTATTCTAACAACTATAAGAGCATTTTCGTGACACAAGTGTGGGAAATCTTAATTCGAGAAATAGCTATTTTAGTACTAATTTTGACAATTTAGGAGTCAGTCCTTCAATTTCAGTCAATTATGTTTGAGTTTGTTATTGGTGAAGATATTTGAAGACTAAGGTATATTACCTTCAAATTTAATGTAATGGCTAAGGCTTGTTTACATTTAAGTTTTATGCTAAGATGTTTTAATTTTGTAATAAATATACTGAAAATTGGTCTACATTGCAATTTTTAAGTGGTTGCAAAAGTTCGTGCCCGATTCAAAACCTAGTAAAACAAAACAAAAAAATTTTCTTAAGAAATTTTTTTTCCTCTATCATTTACTGTTATTATTTTTATTTTCAATAACTGTCTTGCAAGGTTTTACACGCGTTTAATTTCGATTTTGCAGAGAAACCGATTGGTTCTATTGTCCAAGAAGTCAATAAAAATTTTTTTGTTACTTCTTCTAAAAATCATGCTTAGTCTTACTTTTTTTTGCTTTTAAAGTTATTCAGCAAAGAACAAAATATATGCAAATCTGAGTCAACAAGGTTGGGTAAATAGGTTGAATTTTATTTTTTAACGCCTTCCTTTTACAGTTTCTGTTCAACGAATGTGGTGAGAAAAAAAAACTGCTTTTTTATTGATCAAATGCGGATGTTATGTCAAATGCGTAAATTTTATTTCAACACTAAGTTAACTCACTTTTTCAATGAACTTCCTTTCGCACAATTATTTGTTGATTACATTCCTCCGTAATCTCACTAATACTCAAAATAACAATTTTTTTTCATTTTGTGACAAGGCTGAAATTTTTGTAATCCTCAAATATTTATTGCCTATAGCGATAAAATGTTGCATTTTATAAGATGAAAAATCGTAAAATCAAAAACTTTTAACACAAAAAACAAACAAACTTGACAAATTAAATTTATTAAAGCAAAAGACTTAATATGATAACAAAACTGTGATTTCGGCCAGATTTTGTTCCCAAAAGAGAGGTAGCTTAATTGTACGTGTCTTGTTTTGCTAATATTTGTTAGTTATTCTAAGTTTCTTTGCTCAAAACTTTTATTTTTATCAAAAGAAAGAAATAGACAAATAATTTTCACATTTTAATTTTAATGAAAAAATTTAACATATTGTTCGTTTGACGAGTGATAGGCTGAAACGTGAAGTGCCTTTCTTGCGAATGCATTTTTTATTATTTTCTTTATGTCTTATGATTTAGAAACGAGATAAAAAAAAACTAATGAATGCGAACAATGACTTACATGGCTTTTCTCTATATCCCGTTTCTATTGCATGGAAATAATTTAGGAACTCGTGAATGGGAATTTTAAATGCCTCAAAGAGTCCAACTTCTTGAAATACTTTGTAACACATCTAAAAGAAAACAATACAATGAGAAAAACAAAACACAACAAGTTTATTAAATGAAATTGAGTTAAAATACATGAAATTGTTTTCTCGATTTAAATAGCTAGTAATTGATTAAATAATTAAAAAAAAAAGGAAAAAAAATTGATCGCTTTATTACAATCGATGATTACTCATTGTACGCTTTTTTTTCCTGGTTTGACTCCGATAAACGCCACAACATTTCAAATCATAGGTTGCAGAAACTGTCTTATCTGATATTTGCTAAATATTCTCCTTTTTGCGCAAAACATTTGGCGAGTCTTCATAGTAACCAAAACAGAAGATTAAAAAGCAAAATTGTAGATCGAGTTGTGATGGTAATCGAGCAAAATGACTAGGCTTATATTGTATCCCAATAGAATCGAATAAAATCGGAAACTTTATTTGAGAAACCAAATCTGTGACATTACAATAAAAATGTGTGTCAATATAATAAAAAAATTCCAAGGTGAGAATCATAAGTTTGTTCTAACTTATACCCTTTCATTAACACGTGTTTATTATAAGCAAGAAAGAAAAGTGATAAAGAAAAATTTGACAATTTTCAGAAAAGTAAAAGATCTTAATGTCGCATGCGTGATTCACAATACTGAAATAAGCTATTTTAATATATACACAAGATTATTTTAAAAATATTATTTGTTCTAATTTTTATAGTTTTCATAAATATTTTTGACGTGTTTAAAAAGAGCAGATACTATAATTATTTCTGTTGGATAATTGAAAAAAAGAGTTATAAACCACCATTACTTAATATTAATTTTCAAATTGCATGAAAATAGAAATAAATATATAATTGGTAAAGGGAACTTAAAAGTAAGCAATATTTCTCTTTTTCGGATGAAATTTTACAGGTAGAAACTTTTGCAGCTAAGAGAGAAAAATTTTTTAATACAAAATGCGTATAAAATATTTTATTGCAGCTTTAAAACACGGTGTTTGGTATCAACTTTCATGCACGTAGAAATTTCATAAGCTTTTTATGGATGTTGATGGACCTAATATATTTTAGAAAAAGATTCGAATATTCTTAGGCACGAAAAAAGAGCAGTGAACGAACTAGAACCTAAATAAAAATCTTTTTTTTAATATTATTTTTTGAAAGAATGTTTCAATAACCTTAGAAACTAGCTAAGACGACGCAAAGGAAAAGAACAAAAAAAGAATCTTCCAGTGAAGTTTTTATATTGAAAGTATTTACAGAATATAGTTGGTCAAATCTCAAAGATGACAAAATAAAATGTATTTATTTTCTTATTCTTGTGCACCAGCGCACATTTGGGTAATTACTTTCAACTTTTTAATCAAAGGTAAAGTTAAAATATTGGTTTTTTTGATTAAAAATGGTATTTATAAGTAGACTGATTTTATAAATATACTGATTTTATAAATATACTTTTTAAAATAAATTGCATCATTTCAAACAGGCATTATGTCAACTATAACTTATCGACTAAAAATATAATCTTGTGAAGAAGATCACGGACACTCACACATGTGACCCAAGTCGTCAGCGTTAGCTAATCGTTTATAGGTAAAATGGAGCGTTAAAGTTGAGAAAAGTTCCTTCACTAAAGTTAGAATGTTAATTAACGTGAAGTTAATTAAATACAGTAGCCGTATTACACATCGAATTTGTTGAAATGTATTCCTCTGTCGTCTCCGTCTTCTACTTAACTTAGATTTGTTATTTATTTTTGTATTTTATTGTAACCGTGATATATTTTTGTTTTGTGTACCTGGCAACCTTTTTTTAATTTCATTTGGTAGGGAATACAAACAGTAAAAATAGAAAATAATAAAAAACCAAAGTCATCTTTCCAAAAGCTCTCTAGCACGCCAATATCTTGCGGTCTCCAAGTCAAGTCTGTGGAGACTCCTACAGCAATGGAGGTTCTCTCTATACCTGGCAACTTCGAGGCATAATTTGTTTGTTTACGTTCTACATGGTTTCATATCTGTCTTTGTGTTAAGTCTCTGAGTAAATATATAGTGAAAGAAATGAAATCTTTGTGAAAGAATCTTTGTGTAAAAATACAGAATGTGTTACTTAAGAGAATTGATACTTGTCGGGCTTGGCTTACTTGAACCAGAATATAAAGAACAGATGCTAGCGTAAACAAAGCCCATGTTTCAACAACCAATCAGGATCGAGATACCCACACTACGTCACTTGTAGTTATCCCATTGAAAATAATATTCAAAGCAGTCTATAGTTTTTTAAAAATAATAATATTTAAAATTAGCAATGCTTGAAATACACCGTTCTATAAAATTGTAAAGATTATTCGTAAGAAAAGTGTATGCGAGTAGTATTCAAATTTATTAAAATAAAAAAGTAAAAATATCTTTAAAATTTCAGTAATGTTTTTTCAGGTCAATTTTTTTTTATTTAATTTAGTACTGAGTAGCCAATCAGCATTGAATTTATTTATACAGTCTCAGATTTGTTTACCCGATTCAGAAGATAATAGAATTCTTGTACCATTTAATTGGGATCAAAAAGTGAAACTAAGCCGCATATCTGTTACATGAAAAGGAAAATAGCTAAACGAACAACATAGAGGGTCAATTCATGTTAAGTCTAACATTATATGATCACATTTTACAGGAGCACTGTGATCAGTATAAGTTAAGAGCAATATGCGAATCAACGAATTTCGAACCCTTGACCATTTTATTGTGTAGTGAGAGTTATATCCTAAAACAATTCGAGAATAAACAAAACCTTTTTAGAAAAATGGTGAGAACCAAATTTAGAAAAAAGCAAATAAAAATTTTGTGTTTATCTTTGAAGAATAAAAAAAGAAAGAATAAGGATCTAAATGAAAATACATTGATGCGAAAACGTGAATTTTTAATGAAAATAATTTACGAGAAACTATTAGAACCAAGCGTACGCCCATTCATTCTATGCTGTAGATCAAGCATTTGGGTTATCTTTAATATAATCTAGCGCCCTGCACAAATTCCGAAACAAATTAATTTAATCCATTTTTTTCTAAAAATAAATGAATTCCATTATAAAAAAAGTATTTTATTTCAACTCCCCCATTATATAATGGTAAAAGTGTGACTCTTTAAAGAATTAAATGAATGAAATATGGATTCGTGAATACTTGAATTTTGAATATTAATATTTATTAAATGAAGTAATTTATTTTTATGTTATTATTAAAACGCATAATTGAGCCTCTTTCTAACAAAAATTTTATGGTGTGGAAATAATGTTAATCCAATTTAATACTTTGGTGTCATAAGAAACTTTGTTATTTCATTGCATTTCTATTCTTCATTGCAGTGTTTATTTAATACTACTAATTTATCACAATTCTTTTTATCATTATTATATTTGTATTTAGAGGTGAACTGTTCTGTACTCAAAACATACCTATTGCTGACATTTACAGAAATATTTAATTAACCTGTCAATGATTCTAAATATAATATGATGTTAGGCTTCTTAAAATCAACAATATTTGAGTGAAATGCTATATTGAAAAACATAAGAAGTGAAAAAAATGATAAGCGATATTTAATGGATTCCTGATGGATTTCATGCACAGTATGTTGAAGCGTTTTAATTTCGTTTATTAATATGGGTAAAAGAATGCATATGTAGTTGAACTTTTGGAACTTATTAAAAAAGATGCACGGTGCTATAAATATAAAATGAAACGAAACATAATTTTGAATTACAAATAGGAAGAAATATGACTATACACTAAGATGAAACACTTTATAACTTTTTAATATTTAACGTACGCTACAACATAAACTATACTTAATTATTATTGCATATTCCTATTTCAATTAAAATATTAAATTTGCTTTCTATTTTTATTTAGGCTAGCAAGTCTAGTAAGATGACCAAACACTTTGCTATAATTGTTTTGCACATAAATTTTAATAGCATAAATTTATAAAGCCAAGATTAAGTAATTATTGTAATTAAGTAATCTGATTATTTAAGATACTATTTGACGCACAATGGCGGTTGAAGTGAGAAATGAGACAAACCAATTGGTACGAAGGCTAAAATTGATGGTAATTATTGGTGTACAGGCTTGCTCACTATTTAATTTTAATCTGACGGAATATTTCAACTCCGTTGTTTATGGGGGATAGTTTCCAACAGAAACAAATCTATCTTGCACGTTAGATAACACATTAAATTTTGACATTAATTAAAGTGTTCTAGTCACCTTAGTGACGAAAGAATGTGAGAAAGCATTTTATGTGGTATTTCAATTAATGATATTTCAATGTTGCTAAATGCTATCTTTTTACTGTTTGATTAGAATGTATTTTTGTTGTATTGCCTTACTTCCGGACTAAAAGTAAAGAAGAAATGAAATAAATTAAATTGTATGACTTTTGAAACGATCTATAGCCTATAGCTTCGATAAATTCATCAAAAAATGTATCCTAGGTGCTTATAATACAATCGTTATATTAGTAGCTAAATGATCTTGAAAATTCATATTGTCGACTGTGAAAGTTTGAAACATTGGCTCTGTTTAATTTTTTTATCTTGTGTAACGCATATAAAAGTCCTCTCGGTAATATCCATTTAAGCAATTAACTTATAAAATCTATAGGAATAAAATTGGATGTGTGCTTTAAGGAAAATATTTTTTTTTAAATTTTTCAAATAAATTATCAAATAAATTTTAAAAGAAATTGTAAAATTTTAGATTTTAGAAGAATAAAACTCTTTTTAAACTCTTATTTATTTTCGATAAAAAAAATTGAATATTTTGAGATAATTTTGGGCATGATAAATCAGATTTTAATAAACAAAAATCTATATTTCTCATTTCCATAAGTTGATTTTTTTTTCAAGACAGACTGGCTAAATTAACTATCACGATATATGGGAGGTGAGGGGAAAATTTTGTGACCTCAAAACTGATTCCATGCGACCTAAACACTGAATCTTTGAGATCTCAAAGATGAGTTTA